TCTTCCAATGGAGTTGCTTTTGGAGTTGAAATGGAAAAACTGCTATATTATTTCAAATGATTGTGAAATAACAAAATGAATAATAACCTCAAATGCCAGGAAACATTACTTTCACAGAATTTCACAAAAAACAGTTCTACAAGATCCACTTACATAACATAAATATACACAAAAGGAGAAAATATTGTCACAGATGATTGACTACCATGTATTATTTTTATAATAGGAATAAAAATATTTGCCATAAAGCACTATTTGATTAAGATAAAAATAACTTCTTGGGTCATTTCTGGCATTTTCTTTATGTTAGGCCTTAGATAGGGGAGTGAGGGGGAAAATGGCTATTGATATATGATATTAAATGTTACTTTTCTGTTTTAATAAGGTAAGGTGGAAAGTTAAAGCTGTTTAGGAGTTGGAAGGGTCTGGCCATTAGGGAATAAAGCTACATGTTTGTCATTGTTTGGGGCAAATGATAGAAACATATACTTATCCGGTTTCTGATTTTACCATTAGGATTAAGTAAGGATGTGTGCAGTGGTTCTCCTTTGTCTATGGAAAATAAACTCCAACCCTTTTAGCTGATGCCTGAAATATGAATTGCACCGAACCTACCACTTTGTTTCTTTTCTGTTTTAACTAAGCACTTATGCACTAGAACTTTTATGGCTTGAGGTCAAACAGCAACATTAGCATTAATTTGTTTTCCCTTCTTCATAATTTGATAGGTAGAAGTTTTGTTCTTAGTGTAGCTCTTAGCAGCCACAGTACACATGAGAGGCAATGCATAACATTTGCCAATCTAGACTTGACTGGTACGACTTAGCAAAAAGACTGAAGAAATTGACAGTCCTGTTTTGTCAACAGGAAGTCGATGTGTGAAAGTTTAACGCAGGGCTGAATAATTCGAGACACATGGAGCCCAACTGTTTAGCCAGGATGCATTTTGTACTCAAATTACTCATCAGATAACATAGGAGTAGCTTTTTGGGGTCTTGGAGGGGGGTCTTAGTAATATTGGGAAACTTTCTGAGACATCTGGGTACATGGCCCTGGGGAAGGTTGAGCACAGTTTCTTTCTCCCACATCACATGTGTGTCCATTTTGTCAGCTTGGGCTGCTTTTAAAAAAATACTGCAGATTACATGGCTTAAGCAATAGAAATTTATTTCTCACCATTCTGAGGGCTGGGAAATACAAGGTCAAGACACCAGCCAATTCCTTTTCCAGGGAGGACCTACTTCCTGGCTGATAGAAGGCTGCCTTTTTATTACGTCTTCACGTGGTAGAGAGGGAAGATGTGCTCTCTGATGTCTCTTCTGATAAGGACACTGATGTGATTGAATCAGCCTCCCACTCTTAGGATTACATTTAAGCTCAATTATTTCTTTATAGGTCTCACCTTCAAACATAATCATACCAAAGGTTAGGATTTTAACATTTAAATTTGGAGGCAGACACAGTCTAGTACGTAGCAGTATTCTTTCCCCAAATAAAAGCTTAATCAAAGATGACATCAACTACTTTGATTCACCAAAAGTCCTTCTTTAATCAAGCTGGAAGCACTGCTCTTCATATCATTTCAGCTTGAGCTGCAATGTGCAAAAACTGTGAAAGTCAGAAGGGAGGGGGACTAATTCTGCTGCCTCGTTCTAGCCTGCTTAAATGACTTATCCCAATCAATATTGTTTATTTCATATATTTTATTTGAACTTAGCTGTTTTTAGTATTGACACTGTATTAAAACAGGAGTCATAAATAAAATAAAACATGAACCCTTCTTTTATGTCTGTGAGGAAGGCAAATGCACTGTGTCCACAGCCACAAAGAAGGGAGGAAGTGGATGACTCAGAATGACTACAGGAGATCATTTCTCCCTAAAACCTTTGAGCAGTTTTTAAATCTAGGTATTTGACTCTCACCTTCCTTTGGAGGCTACAGATAGAATCAAATAAATTCTCAAAGCCAGAGCTCCAAATTAACACACTATATTCTTTTAAGCTATGCTGGGGAGATATTTGTAGGTTTAACAAAATACTCCCTCCCTGAAAGGATGAGGGGTGCATTTCATTTGTGGGCTCCATCACCATCTGCTTATCAAGACACACTGATTATCCCCCACTTCAGAGTTGCCAGGTCTGCTGTAGCTTTTCAAAGAAGTTTCCTATCTGGAAATCTTTTTAGACTACTGGATGTTAACAGCATGGAGTCTAAAATCAAAATATAATTCTCAGGTTTTAGTGACAGATTTTCAGAATGCTCATTAACTCCCTCAAGAATAATCTCAAGAATCCCTTTGGTTAGATTTATGATGGTATGTTTTATGAATTTGAAATTTCTCAGATAAGGAAGTATAAATGGCCAATAAATACATGAATATTCAACATCACTTGCAGATTGAGACATGCAAATTAACCAACACTGGGATTCCATCTCATTCTTCCAGGAAGAATGGCTATCATCAAGAAATCAACCAATAAAAAATGGCTGGCTGATGTGAGTAGAAAGTAACTCTCTCCATTGTTGGTGGGGCTGAAAATTGATAGAGTCAATAGGGAAAGCAGTGTGGAGATTCCTCAAAAAACTGAAAATAGAAATTCCATTTGACACAGCGATTTCCCTTCTAGGTATCTTCACAAAAGAGTTAAAGACATCATACCACAGTGATGTATGTATACCCATGTTTGTAGCGGCATGAGTCATAATAGCTAAATCTTGGAAACAGTCTGTATGTCCATCAACAGATGTGTGGATAAAGAAAATACGGTATTTATACAAAATAGGGTATTTTGAAGAAGGATAGACTTGAGTCATTTGTAGGAAAATGAATGTGCCTTGAGACTATAATGTGAAGTAACTCAGACACACACTTAAATATTGCGTGATTTCTTTTATATGAATAACTTTTTAAATAGATATAGAAATATACATACATATGAGACTGGTATTAAAGAGAGAGTGAGCAAATTATTACAATCTAGCATGGACAATGTATCCAAAGGTGCACCTTGACTTAGTACAATTATCTTATAGGTTTTATATGTTCTTTGGCTTATTAGTCTGGTTTTCAATCTGTATATATGACAACTTTATAAGGTCTTCTAAGATAAATAAATGAATCTGATGCTGGAAAAATAAAAGGGGGATAGAAAGAAGGGGAAAAAAGAATTGAAATGTATTATGTACAGGTACCAATTTCCTACAGTGAATGCAATAATTACATACTGGAAACATGTACTAATAAATGTAAAAAAAGAAATTTAAGTGAAATGGACACAGAATTAACTTTTACTGTTAAATTCAGAGAATCCATATTTTTGTAAAATGTAACCTGAGGTTTTATAATCAGTATTTTTTGTAACCAGTGTATTTAATAAATCAAAAGGACACAAAATGGCATATTTAAATAAGCTCCCTAGTTTGTTATCAAAGCAACTGTAAAATTTTAGTGAGGTTATTTTATTTTATATCCAGTCTTTCTATATCTCTAAGTAATTCAGGGTAGTAGGCATTAATACTTTCTAAGAACCATTGCAAAAGACAGATAAAAGTATCCCTGGCAGTATGCACATAGGAGAACTGGATGTCACTTGGAAACATGAATTGGTTATCCCTGAAAATCTGGAATTAAGCATAGAGGCTGAGATTAATTTTTTTGGCTTCTGACTGTTGAAGGAGGAGAGACCCCCTTACCCCCTACCACCCTCTTCAACTCGAATTAGAAATGCTTACATTCTAATCAGCAGGTGAGGGCACTCATTAGAATGAACGGTGTTTGGGTCCTAAGTCATCAATTCACATTGCAGGATTTATAGAAAACAATCCCCCAACACTTACTGCTGCCTTTATTCTAAGCTATTGTTAAGGACGTTCATTACGGTGGCCTTCAAATTTGCCCATATATCAGAATCAGCTGAGTTGCAGATTTTTCAGGCCCACATCAAACCCATTTAATCTGAATTTCTAGGCAAGAGGTCAAGGCAATCAGTCAGTATTAATAATTTCAGGTGATTCTGATGCAGTTGGCAGGGATATGCGAAACACAGCATAGTGTTGTTTTTATACTTATATTTTAGTATTTTGTTTTCATTTGTCACATAAAATTGTATGTGGTTAGGAGGCACCTTGTGATATTTCCATGATGTATGCATTGCCACGGTATCCACTTTAAGAGGACCATGGAAAATAGTTCTCTGTACTTTCAGTTCTAGTACAGTGGCCCTACTTCTGGGCAAAAAATTTACTTTTATTTCTTGGATAAATTCACATAATCATAATTCACACAACTGACTGTGTTGATCTTTTGTGCATTGCCCAAAGAGTAGAGCCAAATGTGCACCATACTAGAAAAGGCATAGGAAGAAACATCACGCTACGAGTGCCATATGAGCTCTCTTGCTTTCCTCTCTCTTACTCATTTCCCCTTGGCCCATTATCTTTACCAATTTATTTTTAATTCTGTATTTTGTTGCATTGCAGGTATTTGTATACATTATATTAAACCCTTTCTGGGGTAAAATGTGACATGTATAAGTAATTACTATCCATATATTTGTATGTACCTCAATCCTTCTTTCTTGAGCTGGGTGCTGGAATTTTGTCTATTATTTTAAAAATATAACATAGGACAGCCAAACTCACAGAAACTCAGAGAAGAATGGTGGTTGCCAAAGTAAAGGGTGAGGGAAATTGGAGGTTGTTATTCACCTGGTATAAAGTTTCAGTTTTACAAGATGAATCAATTCTAGAGACCCGTTCTATGTGATTGTACCTATAGTTAATAATACTGAATTTTACTCTTAAAACTTGTTAAGAGGCTAGACCTCATGTTAGAGTTTCTTACAACAAACACCCTAACAACTTATTATGATGCAGCAGAAGGTACAACATAAACCTGATTAAAATGGTGCCATTACTGTCTCCTTTAGTCACTTATTGGCTTTTGGGGAGTGTGGATAAAATTAGGGCTGATATTAGTCTGTATCCATAAAAGACAAGCAGAGAGTCTTCTAAATTTTATTTAGAATGAAATCAATATGGTAAAAATACATGAGTGATACACATGGAAAGAAGTTAGGTTCATTGGCATGATGAGGCTTCAGGGCCAGCAATTTGCATCAAGTGTGTTCTGCTTTACCTATATCCAACTACATCTGAAGATAAGGTGAGCATATTATGGGAGAAAAAAGAAACAAAAAAGTGACAGATCCGAGGAAATGATTAGCAGTCTTACTATGCAGGAGGTGAGGCAACATTGCTTTTGATCCAATCCTGGTATTTCTTGGTTAACAGGGTGTAGATTCCAGGCTTCTTAGCAATACCACATTTATCACCTCTAGAGACTATGGCATGGAAGACACCTTTACAGACCAAAGGGCCACCTGAGTCACCCTGGAAGGAAGGAAATGAACAGACACTTGGTAAGAGGCTGTTGAAATTTTTCTACCACCAGTTGCTGATGGCTTGAAGTTTTATTATCTGGGTCTTTGGTTTCTTAATGTATTCAAGAGTACAGAGTGTAGCCTATTACTCAGTATAGCTTCCTCCAGGACTGTATTTCTGTCTACCATCTCTCTGTTTGTCTCTCTCTCTGTGTTCATACTTGTCTTTGACTATGGCTTTGCCTATTTCTGACTGTGTCCCTTCTATATCTCTGTTGTTTTCTTTTTTTGTCTTTTTGAGACAGGGTCTCATTGTGCAGTTTAGGCTGGCCTTGAGCTCACTTTGTAGCCCAGGCTGGTCTCGAACTTGCAACAATCCTCCTGCCTCAGCCTCCCAAGTGCTGGGATTACAGGCATGCACCACCATGCCCAGCTTTGTTGTTTTCATCTATATCTATGTACACATACATTCCTTCACTAATTAGTAACTATTGAGCTTTATTTTTAATAAAATTATCATTAAAATAAATATAAAATTATTTTCTACTTTAGAATATCACCTTCTACTATGTATATCTATAGCATTTATACACACATAATTGATATCATTTTTATATTACACAGTTGTGTAAGTTTCCTGCACCTGAGACATTCAAAGTTTTTTGAAAATGAGAAATAACTGAGATCTTTGTACATTCACAGGGATTTGATCCAATAGTCATTCTTACATGTAGGCCAACTCGTGTACATCTCTTACATTCATAGTATTTCACTATTTTGTTTGAAAAAATTTTCTAAATGGCAAATTTCATTTTGATGCTCACTGAATCAAGCTGAAGTCAAATTGCTATTGAGACTGGAAGAAAATTGTAACATAATACAAAATGTTTCTTGATCGCAAGGACTGTGACTTCTCTATTATCTTTTCCCTTTGTTTTACATCCTCACATCATTGAACATAGTGTTATGTATATACTGCACTTTATAAATGCTTGCCCAGTGGAATAATTTTTGAGGATCCACTCTAATGACAAAATACATAAGAAAATTTTGTCAAGAGAAGAAAACAAACCATAGAAGGGATGGCATAGCCTTTCAGAGAAAGAACTGGCTGTCAAATTGGGCGATCAGGCTCTGCCCTTGCTGTAGTTCACATTGCAAATGGCAGGGCCTATCCCTGTGTCAACCACGATGACATGGTCAGGTGGGGTTACCACAGTTACACAGAACCAAGTACTTCCCCTCAGCATACCCCTCAACAGTAGCTAATATATTAGGTGTGAATATTGTTTGCATTCTAATTTTAAAAAAATTACTAATTCATCTGTGCTGTATATTAGTCATCTCTGAACATGCACCTGATACATGCACTCAACGTTCTCTTTTCTATCGTGATCAAAGAAAAGATTTTGAAAAACACAATGACTATTATTCCTTTTTGTCAATCAGCACTGCGGTCTGGATGTTTACCATTCCCTGTCCCCACCCACACAAATTCACATATTGAAATCCTCGTCCCCACATGTGATGGTACTAGGAGGCAGGGCCTTTGGGAAGGGACTAGGTCATGGAGGAGATACCCTCATGAATGGAATGGTCACTGGACAGGGCCCATGGAGGTCCCCCACAGTGGAGAGGAGGACCTCGACTTACCACACCTATGAAGTAGGTTGTAGGTTCTCTGACTGGCGTCACAGAAAAAGGATTCTTAAGATGAATCAGTGAGAGACATAAAGAGATTTGTTAGCTAGAATTTAAAAAGTACACACTCAGAAGAAGCCCTCAAGAAAGGCTTGTTGTTTTTAAGGACTTTAGGAAATTTTTCTTTTGAGTAAGATTTTTTAAGAAGGGAAAAAAGCCTGAATAATTTTTTTGTCCTGAATTTGCAGTTTTTCTTAAAAATACACTTTAAAAATTGATTTGTTTGGCTCCTTTCACCTACCTTTATTTTTTCTATCCTCCCTTAGGATGAGGGTCCTTATAAAAGAGTCCAGAGGGAGAACCCTCACCCCTTCTGCCAAGGGAAGTTCGAATGAAGCAGAAAACAGCAGACACTAAATCTGCTGATACCTTGATCTGGACTTCCTAACCCTGAGAACTCTGAAACAAAGCTTAGTTATAAGCTGTTCAGTTTATGATATTTTATTATAGTAGTCCAAACAGTGTGTGACAGTCTATCAATATTACTTAAGAAATACCTATAGTACTGTATATTTGAAATTTTTTGCATTTGAGCTTCGGAAGTCCTCTCTATGGATTGATTTAAAAGGTGGTTCTTTCATGAAAGAAAGGAAACTATTAGATGAGAGGATGGTAACAGGGAAAGGGCAGGTAAGAGAGGCCAAAGGAAGGTAGTGGGGGATGTACAGGATTGAAGTATGTTATATGCATGTATAAGAATGTCACACTGTAACCAGGTGGCCAGTATAATAAATATGCCTTGATAATAAATAACAGTGATTCTGTTTGGGGTATGTTCTCTTCTAATCACCACTGGTGACCTCAGGCTTTGTAGACTTTCTAAAAACGGTAACACCCCTCCTAAACCTGTAAAAGTTGTCAGATATAGTCTATTACCCCCAATAAAAAGCATTTAATGAGCGCTTTTTCAGCTGTGGGGAAGCTCTTCTTTTTTACATAGGTAAATGAAAAAGAACACAAGACACTGTGCAGGCATGGAGAGTAGATTTTTTGGACTTGTGGCTCTGTTTTCTTTACTCCTCTCCTCCTTTGTTTGTTTGTTTTTTGGTTTTTGGTTTTTCTCCGGTACCAGGAACCGACCTCACGACCTTGCGCTTGCCAGGCAGGCGCTTTTGCCGCTGAGCTAAATCCCCAGCCCCTCCTCTCCTCCTTTGTGTGAGCGGGCAAACTGAACCTTGAGTGCTATCTAGCCCTCTGCGATGCCGGTCTGAATGAGCAGTTCTTACCTGGCAGGAATCCTTCTGGCCTTTGGCATCTCCTGCACATATCATGTCTTTTGTTATAGTAGGTCTGTGGTTGTAATAACTTTGGCTGTTGCAATGTTTTCGACTTATGACAGTAACAGTGACTTCTTGCAGGGTATCAGAGTTGTTTAAAACATCTGCGTTGGTGGCTCCCCAGCCAGTAACCTGGCATTTGGTTCCATCTCTGATATAGTTTTTGGATCTTGGGTGGAGCAGCTGGACATACTTGTTGAGTTTTGCAGCCGTGTGAAGCTGACAGATTGAAAAACAAATTATCATTCTTTCCCTGCAGTATTCTGCTGTTAGCCTGTGTGTTGTATGTGTGGTCCTTCTGTCATAGGAGGGCATCCGTTCTTGAATCTACTTTGGTGGTAGCTTGCAGCTGTATTTGTGGTTGTTGCTGTTCTAAACATGCTTTCTATTCCCTGTGGAGCTCACTGATACTTGGGAGGGAACTTATACAGAGCAGGAATTCTGCCCAGTCTCGAGCAAACTGACCTTTGCCCTGCTTTGGATGGTTTTCTGTGGAATGATATCGATAGGTCATAACTTCGAGGGCTGGGCTGTTTCCTGCTGGATAGGACTCTTGAGTATGGTCTAGACTGCATGTGAACTAGACAAAGTATGGTCTAGACTAAGTTATAACTCTCTTCTGACTCTCTGAAGTCACTCAGTTGGCTCTGCTATATAAATGACTTGTAATTTTCAATTGCTAATGAGAAAAGCATTTGGGAAAAAGTTTTCCACTTGGATCTTTAGGCCTTTTGGTTGAGATGTCCCCCTTTTTATGTGTGAATATGAGAATTGATTTTCTTTGCATAAACGTATCCCTGGTGCATTTATGATAAAGCTTTATTTCTTTGCAGGGAGTGTATGGAGTAACATGAGACCTCATAGAATGTGTCATAATCACCTCAAATATGGGGTAGGTGCAAATGAAATGTTTTCATGTAGCTGACTTAACTGCCATACTGTAAAAGAATGTTGGAGAAGTTGAAGAAAGGCAATGTTACATACCTTTATCAGCATGATGTCATTTGATCTGGGTCTTGAGAATGGTACAAGTTTTTTAATTGCAAGCCTTTGTTTGGAGGGCTCATTCTTTGAGAGAGAATGTGCTCCTAAAACCACGGTAGGAGACTGGCCCAACCTAAAGAAGTGAAGAGAATGGAAATAACAGAATGATTTCCAAGTTCTCTAGTGTGGGGTAGAAATGGTAGAAAGAGTTACGTGCATACCAACCAAAGACAAAAGCCAACGGAACTTATTGAGGATTAGGTGGAGTGACAGAGGTCTCAGTGGATCACATCACTGATGAATAATATTAAGGGCCAAATAGCTTTCCATCAAACTCCACCTCAGCCCCATTCCCTGCACAGTTAAATTATATCAGAACTTGTGTCTGATTATGAGAAAGAAGGGGTGAAATCCTAATTGGCATATATCAAGTTCACAACAAATTGTGTTCATTTATATTAAAAAAAGGAAATTATATTTCTTGAGTTTGTCATTTGAAATTTATAACAATTACATTATGGGATTTAAAAATTATGGAAAAATATATATAACAAAATATCTTATTTTAATAATTTAAAATGTACATTTGGTAACATTAAGTACATTTATATCATTGCTTATCCATCGCTGTCATTCATCTTCAGAACTTTTTATGTTCCCAGCAAAAAGTGTTAAAATAGCTAAGGTAAAAACTTAAGTTTGCTCATGGCCATCTGTATGTTGAGACCTCACCGGGCAGTGTGGGGCCCCTTTCATGACACTCAAATGTGCTCAAAATTCCTGTCCCCTTTAATTAGAAAGATGGTTTAGATAAGAAATGAAAACTTCTCTTAAGATCAAAAAGCATTTCCAATTTGAAATGAAGATACATTAAGGGTAGTAAACACTGATAATGTCATTGTGAAGATTTATAGGATACAAATTGGGAGTTCTGTAAGAAACACAAGTTATTTTTTTTTTCTAAAATCTCTGATTATACATAGTTCTAGTACTAATGTTGCAGTAATGCCACAAGTGACCTTATTTACTGCTTGATGTAATTACATTTATAGCCAATAATGCAAGTATAAAGTTATTTTTGGAGATTTTCATAACACCTTGGAGCCATTTGCATGCTATAAATATATTTCGTTGCAACGTGGGTCTTTATGGAGGCTACCTCAAACCCTTTTTTTGGAACAAGAAAGGTCATAAAATATTAGCTTTATTCATTTACATATAAATGTGTCTTTGTTACTTGAAAAAGAGATTGAAGCAGAATTCAGTAAAAATATACATACTCATAAAAATTAAAAAGGGCACAAAACAGGAAGAGATGATTTTTTCAGGCTCAGAGAATGCCCACCTGACTGCAGTGGGGAAGATTTTCACATAGTAGACCTGCGACTGCCTGGAACTACCACTTCATGGTTTCTACCAGAAGAGTTTATTTTGGGGAATTTTAGTTCTATTTGTTCAAAAGTTTGCTTATTGCAAAATCAGGATGGGGATGAAATTTCTTGTAAGATGTGGATTGGATTTCCTAGGACTGATTCAAATTCCACATACCCATCCCTAAACTTTGGAGGAGCAAGACTAATAGGAAAATCCCCAGGATTAATGGTCTAACAGATATGTGGGCAGGAGCATAAGCGGCTCTCACAGAGAGGGCTGTGAGGTCCACATGTGGGTCATGGAAGACGTGCTGTGGTGAAGGGAGGGATGCTAGAAAATTTCTGGTTTCTTTTCATTTTTTTACTCATTTTCTTGACAAGACATTGTCTTTGAAATGTTTTAGTTACTCCACTGAGACAGGATAATACTAAAAACAACCCAAAGCAGATCACTGTTTTCCGAACCACCAATTTCTAGATACCTTTCAACTATCATCTGTCCACATATAGTTGAACTTATCTGAACTCTAGGGTTCAATCTCTTTAGCTAAACCTAGATCTGAATCCACACAGGAAAGGTAATATACAGTGTCATTTATTTGCACAACAACAGAGGGTTCCTCTCAGTGTGGTCTTCAGCACTGCTTCAGAATCACCGGGAGATTGTTGTTTAAAATGGAGCTTTCTGAGTCCCACCTGGACTTACTAGAACAGAATTACATGTAGAGCAGAACCACAGTATTGCTTGTAATAAGTTTTTTCATTGTCTGCTGAAGATAAATGAAAACACAGTCTTAACTGAGCTGAGTGTTACTGAAGCCAATGGGCTATGCATTCCTCAGCAGTAAAAAGGCATTCTCTGACTGGTGTGAGGCAGCTCATCTCATAAGCAGGGGAATCAGGACCCAAATTCACTTCTGTGACTCCAACTCCAGTCATTTTTCCTTGACTTCTCTTTAAAGGCCCGTGCCAATGAGTCAGGTCTCTTATTTCCTTAGTCAGCCTGTCTTGGTGCTCAGCAGGGCTTCTGCTTACAACTACTCCTGAGGTCTGACAGGAAAGGTAGCTTCCCTATGTCTTGGAAGTCTCTTTTGCCTCAGAGACTGAAGTTTTTCTTAGTCCCAACAACACAAGTGGGTTCATCAGATTAGTCCCTTGGTTATTATCATGGAAGGCACACATAGCAATATTACACTACTCGGGAATATATTAAGGTCTTGTATTCCAATGCTAAGTATTGTACACATTTTCCCTCACAACAACCCCATGATGTGGGAATTATAATGATGTCTATTTTACAAATGAGGAAGTTGAGGTTCAGTTACATGAACAAACTAGATTGTCCCACAAGTATTAGGTGGAAACTATAGGATATATATCCAGGTAAGATTACAACTCAGCTGAGTTGAATCTGGAGCCTGACAGTTTTACCATTTCACTCAGGGAGTTTGAGACAGAGTAGCATTTTGTGGAAGGGGCTTCTGAAGGTGTTATCTAGTAACTTGTTAGGCAGGTGATGGGGTTGGGGAAGTGCTCAGTGAGGGAGGGCAGTGGAGGATGCCTTCTATGACAAGACCACAGGTGGTGAGAGTTTTACTTCTGATAAATGAGCATGCTAAAAATGAGATTACACAGTAAGCTTTTTACCCATTCCCTTTTATGACAGGGCAACTAATAAAGAGGCAAGGTGCTTAGGGAGGAACCGAGTGGGTGGACAGTGAGAAGGGAACATTCCCGGATTTGGCCCACTGCACCATTTTGCTGAAAGAGGAGCCTGGGGATAGCAACTATCCCCTTGGGATATTTGTGAGTATGCTTTCGGGAAGCCACCATTAAACTATTTCATAAATGTTTTGAATTTCATAAGGCTTAATATTTTTCCAAGCACTGATGTGCCTACATTTTTACACCCGAGTGTCCTGTGGAGGAAATTCAAACCACATATTTTGGAGTTCTTTATACTCCAGCCATTTAAAAGGATATTTATCATACTTTTTCTAGAATTCCAAGACCTCTCTTCAGTCTTTTAAAAATAATCTGTTTCTCCTAATTTGGGAATCCACTTCTTTTGAGTTAAGTTCACTTGACAAAATACGAAATTCAACTTAATGTTGTTTACCTCCTAATAGTATCTTAGGGCTTGTTTTAAGTTTAGCAAAAAAAAAAAAAAAAAAAATCCTCCAATTTTGCTTTCCTTTTTTTCATCTAGCATTTTTTCAGTATTTATAACTCCAGTTCTGTGTCTGAGGAGCTCACATTCCAGTGATGAGCTTTAGAACTTTCACTAACAGCCCGCTGTGGCACGTGGACCACCACTGTTATAGTCATTTAAATGTGTACCAAAAGCATCTTTAAAGATGCATACATTTTGCATTGATTGAACGTTTAATGACAGTCATCATCTGCCTCATTGGTCAAGAGGGCATAGCCTGTCCTGTTTGTAGGCTTCAAAACTTCGAATTTGTGTCCAAACAGTTCCATTACAATGGGGCCATCGGGAAGCACCCTAAAACATGAATAAGCCAGCCAACTCATTTGTTCTGTTTAGACACTGCTGATGCCTAGACAGCAAATCATAGGCACTAAAATAGATCCTCGAGTGAAGTGCTGTACATTCCTAAGGAAAGAACCATCTCAGCATATTTGACAGGAAATGAAGAGGGCAAACAAAATGCAAAACCAGAGAATCCAAACAAATAAAGGAAACAACCAATACCAAATTAATTTTCTCCTGTTTTTCCTTGTAATGGTGGCAACATCCTGAGATGAATTTTGTATTTTATTAGCTGAAGAAAGAGCACTCAAGGCTGAAATGGATTTAGGGAGGTTGCAGTCTGTCTCTGGAAAAATTTTCATTTAAAATATCTCAGAAAAAATAATTCACTGTTTTCTGTCCTTTATAAATCCTCTCTAAATCCCTTCTCTCCCACAATCTGGGAACAGTGCTGCTTCTTATGGCTATGATTCCCAAACAGGGACCTCAGATGACTGGGAGAAGGGATAGGGCTAAGGAACTAGAGAATCTATTAAGTCTACAAGCAAAGCAAATTCCTCAAACATACAATATTGGTTGCAATGTTTTTGTGCTTACTAAATGCTCTCAACAGCTAAAGTACTTAAATATATACTATGTAATTCTCAAAAGCCCACAAAGCAGAGTGTGATAGAGTCCCTTTTATACAGTTTTGCTTTCTGTGATTTTAGTTATTTGTGGCCAAATGCTGCTAAAAATACTAAATAGGAAACTCTAGAAATAAACAATTCATAAGTTTTAAATAATTTTTCCTATAATATATTGTCATAATTGTTCCATTTTATTACTGTTGTTATTAATCTCTTACTGTGCCTAATTTACAAATTAAACTTCATTATAGATATGTATGTATAGAAAGATAGTGTACACAGAGTTCCCGCTATCAGAGGTTTTAGGCATCTGAGGAATGTCTTGAAACATATGTCCCATGGATACAGAGAGACTACTGTACTATTATTATTAATTCCTATTTGTAAAACAGGAGAGTTCAAGAGGACAAAACAAGCTCAGCCTGTCTTATTTTCTCCTGAATGGTATTATTTAACAAGATCGGAGGCTGGTGATATAGAGCAGTGGTACAGCACTTGCCTGTCAAGTGCAAGGTCCTGAGTTCGATTTCTGGTACGAAAAAAAGAAAACTCAAAAAACATGGTCAGAAATAACAGCTATTTCCAGTATTACTGCTTCTGTATTTGCTGATGAATTAGACTGAGGACTTGCATTTGCTTAACAGCTTGCCTGGGAGAAAAAAGCCCATTTCTTTCCAAAACAGAGACACTCAGGGTAGAAAATATGGATGTGCAAGAGGACAAATAACCCCTACCTACCGGTCAAAGATCACAGAAGCTAAAGGGAGCCCAAATCCTCACCCAGCACATGTGGCTTTTTTTTTTTTTCCTAGCCAACTTGAAGGAAACAACACATGAATAAGGGACTCACAAAAAGCTGCAGTGCGCTGCTGTCAGCACCCACTCTGGGTGGATCAGGACCCCTCCACAAACGTGATTGCCTTCGGACTGGATGGAAGCCATGAAGGGCCTGGAGTGTGGAGGCACTTCTTTCCCTCCAACAATCTCCATAGTGAGATCTACAAGATACAACCAGAGGATTTCACAAAAGATCCAAGCAGTTATATGTAGTTTTCCCGATAACAGTCACTATGTGATTTTCAAAGATTAAAAAATAGCAACTCTACATAATGGTAATTATACTTCCACTGATGAACAATTGTATGAAACATATCAGTTGCAAGCAATAGAAATGGTTGTGAAAATACTATTCTTCTATAATGTAACAACATACTCTGGTTTCTCTTCAGATTGTATAAATCTTTCCCCTTATAATGTAACAACACAACCACTAGAAATTCACTTACTGTTCACATGTTGTAGGAATAGGAGATACTTACATTCTGGAATCATATAAGCCCCAGCTATCAAGCAAAACAGAGAAAAAGCAAAAAAGTTGGCCATTTTAATGACTCAGACTTAAGAAGTCCAGATGAAATACTCTGATCCAACTAATGAAGGAAGATTTTGAAGACTGAGTTTTGTTCTTGCAAGTGTTAATGTTCTCACCACAAATGTTCTAGTGGTAAGCTTTTCACACCTATTTAAGGAGTGTGTGTCACTTTGGAGAGTTTCAGTTTTCTGCTGCTAGTATTTTTTTTGGGGGAGGATGGTTATGTGTAAAGTAAAGAGCTCTCTTCTGGATATAACCATCTTCAATATCTGCACAAATACTTGAGCTATAAATGATGAAAGAATCCAAGCCATAAGAACCCAGTGAAGTGGCAGACAGAGTTCAAATATGTTCATTGCTCTGAAGCAATAGTTAGCATTTTCCTGGCATGAAATGGTGCCTAGTACATCTAATGCCCACCTACTTTTCATTTGGACTTAGATTTATGATGAAAAGGGATATGAAACCTTGCACAGATCATGGTTGCATTACATTGTGACTTGTGTAAAGTGTGAATGTCTTTAAGAGAAACCCATATGTTTTGCAGCAAACTTATTCCTAGTCCAGTCATTTCTTCTTAGCATGACCAAATTGAGTCAAATTTCAGTTATTTTTTAAAAATTTAACAATTTTATTAAAGGGGAACATTGGCAACATATTTTTGATTCAGAATTTCTCTTCTATTCTTTTGAGATTAAAAATGACCATGTAGTACTGCTTACCCATAAAGAAAAATAATCTTGAGTTATTTGTAGGAAAATGGTGCTGGAAAAACTGGCATGCCAAAAAACTTTCACATGCTGAAGACAAAGATTAGACTCATCTCTCACCATGCACTAAACAAAATCAAAATGTATCAAAGATCTCAATATTAAAACAGAAACACTAAATCTGCTGGAAGGTAGAATAGGTAGAACTCTTGAAGACATAGGTATAGGCAAAGACTTTATGAAAAAACCCCAGACCACAAGGGAAATGTTACAGTGAATCAACAACTGGGATCTCATCTTATTACAAAGTTTTTGCACAGCAAAAGATATCACTAAAAGAGTGAAGAGACAATCCACAGAGTGGGAAAATATTTTTGCCAGCTGTTCCTCAGACAAAGGACTAATATCTAAAATATAGAAAGAACTAAAACAAATCAAATCCCCCAAAATTTAAAGATCCAATCAAAAATGGGCACCTGAAATGAATAGACACTTCTTAGATGAAGAAATTGAAACAGTAAATAAATATATGACAAATGTTCAACATCATTTGTCATTCAAGTGATGCAAATTAAAACAATGCTGAATCAATAATAAATATTAGAGGGGCTGAGGGGAAAAAGAAAGCCTTCTCCACTGTTGGTGGGAGTGTAGACTGGTGCAACCTCTGTGGAAATCAATGTGGAGATTCCTCAAAAAACTAGGACTAGAGGATACATTTGACTAAGTTATTCCCCTTCTTGATATCTTCCAGAAAGAATTAAAAACACCATACCACAATGGTGTATGTGCACCCATATTTATAGTAGCACAGTTTTTAATAGCTAAATCTTCAAATAGCCCAAATGCCTATAGACCAATGAATAGATAAAGAAGATGTGGAGTTTTTTTCAAAAATACAATGGAGTACTACTCAACCAGAAAGAAGGATAATCTTGAGACATTTATACGTAAATGGATGCATTTTGAGACATCCTCAAGTGAAATATATCAAACACACATGTGTAAATATCACATAGTTTCTCTGGTATGAGAAACCAAAAGCATAAATAAAGACCAGAATGTATTCTAGATATTATGAATTAGGAAGAAAATACTCATTTGGGAAGGGGATTAAGGAAGGGGGTAGGGGGAAAGAAAGGAAGGGAAAAAAAATGAGAAAAGAAGAAAAAAATAGGAACAAAGCTTTTGTAAATAAGGAGGGGAAGAGAGGTTGAAAGGAGGGTAGGGGATAGGAAAAAGAAAGAGGAATTGAGATAAGTCATGTACACGTATGAAGTCCCTATGATGAAAGTGATCATTACGTATATTTAAAATATATCAGCACACTTAATTTATAAAAGAATTGTGTGATTTCCCTTACATGAAAAATTGTAGATAAAGAGCAAAATAAAAGATAGATAAAAGGAAGTATGGAGATAGATATTTCTCAAATGCAAGGGGATGGAGAGATGAAGGGAGGGAGAGGGAGGGACAGGAAAGGGATGAAAAAAGAAAAGATGTGTTGTGTACAAGCCCCAACTCCACAGAAGGAGTGCAAACATTCTATACCACAAACATGTACTAATAAAATACATAAATTAAAATCAAGGACTGCATTTCATCATTGCCCTCAGGGACAGATGCATTGCCAGGCTTTCTAATGTACTTTTTCCTTCATTACAAAAGAATTGTACAAGATTGCAAGATTCTGTTTGTTCTGGATACTAATCAACAGTGCAGACATTATGAAGTGAATGCAAATTGATAAATTACTAAAACTGCAATACTTTCTAGAAATACTAAAATTTGCAACATGTCAGTAGATCTTTTTCCTAAGACATATGGACTCTATCTTCCATTTTTAAAAAATAAGCAAGAATTAAAATCTAGAGCCATCATGTTTGGCAAGTGACTCCTACCAAATTGTTTTCTTCTACAGAAAAGAAGGAATAATTAAAAAACAGCATTATCTATATATTATTCATCAAAATTTAATAATATATGAGTAAAATGCCTTATTTCCAAAATTCACTTTATCTGATCATTTCAGTCTTTATATCTGTGAGGAAGACAGGACGTTTATTTTACTTAAGTTACAACTGAAGAAATAAGCTCAGAGGCTAATTTGCCCAAGGTTACGTATATGTGACTTGGACCACATTTCTGACCTGATCTGAAGAAACTTGTGTACTAATAAATACACTGTCCGAACCCAAAATTTGATAAGTAGCCTATTTTCATTTCACAGGGATGCAGAATAAGTAAAACTTTCAAAATATTAAGCAGAATGAACAAAATCAACACAGATCAGTGACTTTCTGCAAAAGAGAGCAAAAGATAAAGAGGAACCAGATTAAGAAAAGAGACATTAACAAACCTATTAATTTGTTTATTCCACCTAAATCTCCCTCTGACTCTAGGATCATCTTCATCACTGTTGATGTGCCTTGGATAGAGCTTTGTGTACTACATTTTCAATTTGTCAGATGTGGGTGATAGTGGCAGTCCCATGCGCTACCCCAGTGATGCTGGGAAGGTAAGGAAGATGGTATGTGGCATGGAGAAGCGATTTGATCTATAAGGAAGATGTAAATTGTGTGAAAGACAAACCTTTTTGGTGGGAGGCAAGGTGACAAACATAACTCAACTACCTATTTCTCTGTAGTAAGGACTGGCATCTACATATCCTTTTACAAATTGCTAAGCATTTTTGCTAGCTGTATTTCTGGGGAGGTAGCTGTTATTAGTCTTGTTTTATGATAAAGAAATTGAAGCTGAGATAGTGCCTTAAGATTACCCAGCTAGCAGGTGGCTCTTAAGCTCTTATACGCTGGCTCTAGGCTTTATATTTCTTTCAACCTAACCACATGCTTACCCTGCTCTAAGAAGTCCTTAGGACTTAGACACTCCAAGCAGAAAGTTTGCCAGCAGGAGAGAAAAGGGATTTAGTCACACACACCACAATTAGGCATGGATGAGATTCAGTTCAACTGAGAATATAGCTTCATAATTCTTTCTTGTAACTGACCTGGAAAATTTTGAGGATTGTGTTGGTTTATAGCAATGTTATCTGGTTTTGGCTTTAGATCAACATCCTAATTAATAATATCATTTGTTATTGTATTCAAGATCCTGGACTTGAAGACAGTGGGCTGCGTAACTTGATGAGCTAGGCAATCTAATTTATTTCTGGGTGTTGGTTTTTGTTCTGTTGAGTCTGCTGTGCGGTGAGCCCTGTTTGCTTTGGATGGTTTTAGCAGCAGCTGTGCCGGGCTGAGCAAGTGCAAGCAGCTGGGCTACGACGGGCTTCATGCATCCGGGGCCTTGTGGTTCTCCTTTGTTGTGTGTTTAGTGTCTCTGTCAGTTGCTCTTAGAGGTGTTTTTTTGACTCTTCTGTGTTTCAAGAGACTCTTCTAGAGCATCTGTCTTGCAGCTTCCAAGACCATGTATGTGGTTCTCACTCTGGGGCTACCTTTCTTCAACAACTCTGACACCTGCTTCATCAGATTCACAAGCCATATCCTCCTGGCTATGTCACTGACAGGCTGGTCTGAAGACTTGCACCAGTCTGAGGCCCATTTCTTACCAACTGGGGCAAGAAAAGGATAGAAACCAAGAGTGAGAGTTTAGGAAACATTACGGCCATTTCACATGGCTGTATACTAAACTTGGGCATGGTGACATACACCTGTAACCCCAGCACTTAAGAGGCTGAGGCAGGAGGATCAGTGTGAGTTTAAGGCCAGCATGAGCTACACAGTGAGTTCAAGGCCAATGTAAATTACATAGAGAGACCCTGTCTCAGCATCAAACAAAACCAAAAACACAAAAGAGTTGGGCATGCATTTTTCCATGCCTTTGCTTATAATTATTTACATTATAAGCAAGGTTACAAGAAAATGTAAATAATTGTATAATTAATTATTTATTCGTGTTATATCATATAAAAGTATCAGTCCACATATGGACTGAAACTAAAATAAATTAACAAAGGAAAACTCTGAACACGTCTGTTCTTTCCCACAGACTGTCTGAGAATCACTGCTCGGTAGCTAGAACTATGAAGTAGATCTGTTTTAGGCCTTTTCCACTGATTCCTTTTCAGTTTCTTTTGAGAATTTCTCATCATCAAGGTGTCCAAGACAGTCCAACCTTTCCCAGCCCCAGGCACTTGAGGTGAGGACTTGGCAGAATTTCCCTGAGTCCCTCTCTTGTACCCAGTATCCTCTAGTATTGATTTCTATCCAGCAATAGTTTAGCTAATTTGATAAATGAATCTGCTAACAATTATGGTGGAACTAGGGAAGGTTTGATAATTTGCTAAGTAAGGAAGAACATTAGCATGCTGTGTGGTGATACTATGTCCAAAGGTTACAAGAAAATGTAAATCTACCACAGATTATAGCTGTCTCCCTATGAGGTCCT